CTGTGACCTAGGCAAGCTACATAACTTTTCTACATCTCAGTTTTCTCATCTGTGAAATGGGTGATTAAATATGTTTTTATATGTTAAATATGTTATTATATAAGCACTTATCACAGTGACTGATTTATAGGAAGTGAGCTGTGTTATTATAAGTGTTACCATTCAGATGGAGGTTATATCTGGTTAATGCCAGGTTTTTGGCGATAAGTTATAATATTGAGGATTCAGGCTTGGAAAAAAATTGCATATTTTGGCACTACTGTATTTAGCATTCTATTTGATATTGTATTTAAAATGTAACCTCAAAATGAAATCAAAAGAGATTCCATCCTTATAATAGGTCCCTTTGGTTTTAATGAATTTTGCTCTCTTAAATTCTTATGACAGGATTTCCAAATCTCACTCTTTGGAGTTGAAACTGAAATGACATTGTCTAGTTTCCTCCTTTTGCACAAGTTGCAGAAGACTTGTCTGAAGAGTTATTAGAAGCTTCAAAACAGCTCAGAATACTCCCTCAAGTGGAGACATTTGTATTTTATTTATTTTTACATAGAAGAAGTAGGGTGCAGGCCAGAGGTGCAGGGTGGGTGAGAGGATTCACCAGAGACAGAGTGAGGAGCAGAACAGGCTGCTCAACTGAAATACATTGCTGAGGGGAGCACCGAGAGAGACAGGAGAGGTCTGCTGCACTATATGTGGGTTAGTTCCCTCACTGGAGATGGAACTCAGGCCAACACCGAGGGCTATCATGGTGAGAGCTCTGAGACTTAACCCCTAGGCCACCAGGGAGATCCTTGAATGTAGACCTTTGGAATTGAGAGTGTTTCAGAGAAGAGGCTCTGAATATAAGGTGTAGTTGTGGTTGTTATGGAGAAGATGTTTATTTATTAATTAGACCCAGATAATGCATTTCAGATTTGTCAGAGGTTAGTATTTGACATCATATTTTTTCCACTGCTAGAATCTTTACTAACGTAAATGACTGTATTAGTCTTTGGTCTGAGAAATTAACTCAAATAAAATGATTTCCCCTTCACTTGAAATATCCCTCCAACTCTTCATCTCCCCCAAATTCTACTAGTCAAAGTTCTACTTATCCTTCCAGTCTAATAAGTTCCACTTAGTTGAGGCTGGGTCCTGCCAGAATTAATCTTTATCATCTTCCTTCTTCAGATGTTGGTGTTCCCTCCCTGGAAGTGGGGAAGGATGGAGATCATTTGTAATTCATTTTGAATTTGCTACAATGCCTTGCAGCCTGTAGACTCAATATAATGTTTGCTGAAAATATTCCAGCACTTGGTTCTTTGAAAAAAATAAATAAAATAGACAAACCCCTAGCCAGGCTCACAAAGGAAAAAAGGGAGAAAGCACAAATACACAGGATCATAAATGAAAGAGGAGAAATCACAACGGACACAGCAGAAATCAAAAGAATAATCAGTAACTACTATGAACAGTTATATGGAAACAAGTTCAACAATCTAGAGGAGATGGACAAATTCCTACAACTCTACAATCACCCAAAGCTAGATAAAGAAGAAATAGAACACCTAAACAGACCAATTACAAGCAGCGAAATTGAAATGGTAATTAAAAACCTCCCCAAAAACAAAAGCCCAGGACCTGATGGATTTACAAATGAATTCTACCAAACATTCAGAGACGAATTAGTGCCTATCCTTCACAAACTCTTCCAAAAAATTGAGAAGGAAGGGACAATACCAAACACGTTCTATGAAGCCAATATTACACTAATACCAAAACCGAATAAGGACAACACAAAAAAGGAAAACTATAGGCCAATCTCCCTAATGAACACTGATGCAAAAATCCTCAATAAAATTTTAGCTATCAGAATCCAACAATGTATCCATAAGATAATTCACCACGACCAAGTTGGATTCATTCCAGGGGCACAAGGATGGTTTAACATCCGAAAATCAATCAACGTTATCCAACACATCAACAAAAAGAAATATAAAAACCATATGATAATATCAATAGATGCTGAGAAAGCTTTCGACAAAGTGCAACACCCATTCATGATAAAAGCCCTTGAAATTCTTGGGATACAAGGAACATACCTCAACATCATAAAGGCCATCTATGACAAGCCAACAGCCAGTATCATTCTCAATGGTGAAAAGCTGAAAGCAATTCCATTAAGATCTGGAACAAGACAAGGATGTCCACTCTCACCACTGCTTTTCAATATAATACTGGAAGTCCTAGCCAGAGCAATAAGACAAGAGAAAGACATCCAAGGAATCCAAATAGGAAAAGAAGAAGTCAAACTATCACTATTTGCAGATGATATGATAATATACATAGAGAACCCCAAAATCTCCACAGAAAAACTAATTCAACTCATCAATCAATTCAGTAAAGTGGCAGGATACAAAATCAACACGCAAAAGTCAGTAGCCTTCCTATACACAAACAATAAATCTGAAGAAGAAGAAATCAAAAAAACCACCCCTTTTATTATCGAAACAAAAAAAATCAAATATTTGGGAATAAATCTAACAAAAGAGGTAAAGGACCTATACAAAGAAAACTATAAAACACTGTTAAAAGAAATAGAAGAAGACACAAAGAAATGGAAAGACATCCCCTGCTCATGGATTGGAAGAATAAACATTATTAAAATGGCCATCCTACCAAAAGCAATATACAGATTCAATGCTATTCCAATCAAAATCTCAATGGCATTCTTCAAAGAAATAGAACAATTATTGATGAAATTCATATGGAATCACCAAAAACCCCGAATAGCCAAAGCTCTACTGAAAAAAAAAGAAGGAAATGGAGGCATCACACTCCCAGACTTCAAACTATACTACAAAGCCATAATCATCAAAACTGCATGGTATTGGCACAAGAACAGACATACAGACCAATGGAATCGAATAGAAAATCCAGAAATAAACCCACAGATTTATGGTCAACTAATCTTTGACAAAGGAGCAAAGACTATGCATTGGAGCAAAGAAAGTTTGTTCAATAAATGGTGCTGGGAAAACTGGGTCGCTACATGCAAAAGAATGAAGCTTGACCACTACCTCACACCATACACAAAAATCAACTCAAAATGGATTAAAGAACTAGACATAAGACCTGAAACCATAAAATACATAGAAGGAAATATAGGCGAAACACTACGGGATTTGCACATCAAAGACATCTTTACAGACACATCACCCAAAGCAGTGATAGTGAAGAGAAAGATAAACAGCTGGGACTACATCAAATTAAAGAGCTTCTGCACAGCAAAAGAGACAATAACAAAAACAAAGAGAAACCCCACCAACTGGGAGAACATTTTTGCACCCAACACTAATGATAAAGGACTGATCACAAAAATCTGCAAAGAGCTGATGAGACTCAGCAACAACAAAGAAAATAATCCAGTCAAAAAATGGGCAGAAGAGCTAAAAAGAAACTTCTCTGAAGAGGAAATGCAAATGGCCAACAGACATATGAAAAAATGTTCAACATCACTTGTCATCAGGGAAATGCAAATCAAAACTACCATGAGATACCATCTCACACCAGTGAGAATGGCACATATTAAAAAAACTAGCAACAACAAATGTTGGCGAGGATGTGGAGAAAAAGGAACTCTTCTGCACTGTTGGTGGGAGTGCAAACTGGTCCAACCACTATGGAGAGCTGTGTGGAGATTTCTGGACCTACTAAACATAGAGCTTCCATATGATCCAGCAATTCCACTCTTAGGTATTTACCCAAAGGACACAGAAACATCAATTCCAAAGAGCACCTGCACTCCTATGTTTATAGCAGCACTGTTTACAATAGCTAAGCTTTGGAAACAACCCAAATGCCCAAAAATAGATGACTGGATCAAGAAGATGTGGTACATATATACCATGGAATATTACTCAGCATTCAAAAAAGATAAACACATGCAATTTGCAGCAACATGGATGGCACTGGAAGGGATCATGCTCAGCGAAATAAGCCAAAAAGAAAAAGAAAAATACCGGATGGTCTCACTCATAGCAGGAATCTAGAAAACTTAAATAAGGGACCAGGAAAATGAATATAAGAAAGTGAAAATCAGGGCCTCCCTGGTGGCGCAGCGGTTGAGCGCGGGGTTGCGAAGCTGCCCGCAGCCTTGCAGCGCCGGTTCGATCCCCGGCTGCTCCCAGGCCACTGGAGGAGGGTCCCGCATGGCGCGCAGATCTCTCCTGCCGCCCGCTGCTCCCCTCAGCAGTGTACTTCAGTCCTTCTGCCTGCTCTGCTCCCTGCTCTGGCTCTGGTGAACTCTCTCACCCTCCCGCGCTTCTGACTGTACCCAGTGCTTGTATAAATAAATAAATAAATCTTTAAAAAAAAAAAAAAAAAGAAAGTGAAAATCAAAATCAACAAAAAACTATGAACCAGAGACACTTTTTGGGGGTGGGGGGCGGGAGGGGAAGGATTGGGGTCAGAATGGGGTATTTGCAATTGTATGGGGGAATATAAAAATAAAATTTAATATTTAAAAAAAAAAAAAAAAGAAAATATTCCAGCACTTGCTAGAACTTTGTCATTACAAATGACCTGTATTTTAATAAATGATGATGGTCCCATATGTATGATGGCTCAACTTACAGTTCTTTGCATTAGGTAGAAACTGTGCTTTAAATTTTGAATTAGGTCATTATATTTTTCACTTTCAGCAAAGGATTCACTAAATTACATGAGCTAGTCAACACTGTAATGTAAATGAGACTTTGGGTTAGATGAATTTGTCCTAGCAGGCTAATGTGAGTGTCTTGAGCATGTTTAAGATAGGCTCAGTTAGTTGTGATTTTCTGTAGGTTAGGTATAGTAAATGTATTTTGATGGGGAGAGGGGTAAAAGAGAGTGTGCATATTCTAGATATACTTTCAGAAAATCACAGCAAAAAACAAACACAAAAATGTGATTCATAAAATCATTTGAAATATGGAATTATCTGCTCTGTTAAATGTATACAATAGCTTAGCTTTTTTAAAAATATAGAACACTTCATGGATTTTTGTGTCGTATTTACACAGGGACCATGCTAATCTCTGTATGCTTCCAGTTTTTGGTATATGTGCTGCTAAAATGAGCTCTAAATGTATTTTTGTCTTATAATATTTTCAACTGTGATGGGAGATAACCCCATCACAAGCCAAAAAAGATTTGTATTTAGGGCCTCCCTGGTGGTGAAAAGGATTAAGATGCAACCTATGAAGCCCTCTGCAACCACTGCAGCACAAGTTCGATCCCCGACCTGCCAGGGAGCAACCCACATGGGGCAGCAGACCTCTCTTGACTCGCCCGCTGCTCCCCTCAGCAGTGTACTTCGGTCAATCTGCCTGTTCTGCTCCCCACTCTGTCTCTGGTGAATCCTCTTACCCACCACATCTCTGACCTGTACCCCAGTTCTTGTATACATAAATAAATCTTTAAAAAAGAGTATCCTATGTTGATACTTAAAAAAAAAAGATTTGTATTCCCTTTCGTGAACCAATCTGAAATAGTTACTTTTTTTTTTTAAAGATTTATTTATTTATTTATACAAGCACTGGGTACAGTCAGAAGCGCGGGAGGGTGAGAGAATTCACCAGAGCCAGAGCAGGGAGCAGAGCAGGCAGAAGGACCGAAGTACACTGCTGAGGGGAGCAGCGGGCGGCAGGAGAGGTCTGCGCGCCACGTGGGACCCTCCTCTAGTGGCCCGGGGAGCAGCCGGGGATCGAACCGGCACTGCAGAGGCTGCAGGCAGCTTCGCAACCCCGCGCTCAACCGCTGCACCACCCGGGAGGCCCTGAAATAGTTACTTTCACTACAACAGGGGAAGTTCAAATGGGGGGAAAAACAGAGATTTAAAAAAATCCCAAAGCATATAGTATTTATGTTTTCAGGTTCCACAGATAAAATAGGTTGGAACATGAATAATTCACAGTGGAAATAAGAAATCGTGTTTTGATCAGCATTTTCTGAGTTGAACAAAGGAGCTTCCCTTCTCTTCCTAGATGGAGAAGAATGTTCTTGCTAAAGTCAAGGGCTGACTGGTCTTCGGGCTTCAAGCCAATGTGCCAGGATCAGCTCTGTCATTTGGGAGAGTTGCTTTCTATTTTCCCCACTGGCTACCCCACCCCCATACCCCCTACAGTCTGCCTGGTTCTGAGCCCAAGAACAGCCTAGTCAGAGTACATCTCCCTTGTTCACCTGCTGGCTGTTTCCTGTCTTTTGTTGGCTTTGGGCAATGAAAGGCACGAGTAGGGCAGGAAAAAGAAGCTGGGGTTCTTTTCCTGTTTCTTTCTTGTTTTTACATTGCATCCTTGGCAGCAGCACTCCTGCTGGGCCCCTTCTCCAAAGCTGGTTTAGCTCTTCTGTTCTTACTGGCCATAACCCTCTCTCACTATTACTAGTTTCTCACTACCCCTGTTTCTAAAACCCTGCCTTTACCTCAATGACAAGTACTTTTTAAAAAATCTCTCTTTATTTGAAAGATTTATTTGAATCCTTTTTTTCTTTTTTCTTTTTCTTTTTTTGGTTGCTGAGATATTAGCCCTCAAAGCAAAGGCTTAAGAAAAAGGTTAAGGTTTTTGAAGCAAAGTCTTCCCTCAATAAGTTTTCCTGAGGTGACAACTGTATTCCAAACCCTTCCGTAGGGGTTTGTTCTCTCATCCAAAAGAGTAGAAAAAATTGTTTCTGCTTTTAAACCAATCACAGTCTAGTACTGTGGTGTCTAAAGAGATCTTTAGATTCTGGGAGAAAATTTCTATAAAGAATATAAGAAATAAATGTGATAATGTATTGATAATAATATATAGAACAGAGAACAATTCTTTGGGAAACTAGGGGATTCCTCAACACAGAAGGGTTGAGCATAGTGTTTTCATTTTTGGTTGCTTTTGGCATATTGTGCCTACTTGCTACATATCATTTGCAAGATTAATATTTAAAAAACAGGGGTCTGGGCGTCCCCGGTGGCACAGTGATTAAGCGCTGGGTTGCGAAGCTGCCCGCAGCCTCTGCAGCGCCAGTTCGATCCCCGGCTAGCAGCGAGGGTCCCACATGGCGCACAGACCTCTCCTGCCACCCGCTGCTCCCCTCAGCAGTGTACTTCGGTCCTTCTGCCTCTTCTGCTCCCTGCTCTGGCTCTGGTGAATTCTCTCATTCTCCTGTGCTTCTGACTGTACCCAGTGCTTGTATAAATAAATAAATAAATAAATTAAAAAACAGGGGTCTCCCTGGTGGCACAAGGGGTTAAGAATTAGCACACTACGAAGCCTTCGGCAGCTACTGCATCATGAATTCGGTCCCCAGCCAGGGAGTTAATCCACATACCACAGCGGACCTCTCCTGTCTTGCCTACTGTTCCCCTCAGCAGTGTATTTCAGTAGATCTGCCTGTTCTGCTCCCCATTCTGTCTCTGGTGAATCCTCACATCCCCCCACACTGGCCTACACCCCAGTTTTGTTTGCATAAACAAATAAAATAAATCTTTAAAAAATATTATAAAAACAATACTTTTAATGTAATGAAATAAAAATTTAACATTCAAAACTAGTCTTAAAGACACAAGGCACATTTCTTTTATACAACAAATATTTGCTTTCCCCTCTGTTTTTTGTGAAGACTAGTGGCAGGAAGGTATATTCTATTTGGGACACTATACCTGTCCCTTCCAGTTAATAGTTGTTTTAAAATAATGAGAAAGTAACTGCTCTGCAAGTAAACTCATGCGACAGAGAGCATTTTGACAGATACTAAAATCAGATGTAGATTTTAATAGATGTTGATTTTAATAGCTTAACCTAGAACCAAAGGAGCAACTTGCTCTATAACTAAAAATTTTACCAGGCTTCAATAATGAAGCATATACAATTTAACTGCTCTTACTAAATAATAAAAGATATTAAAGTTTTTATTATTTAATTTGACAATACAGTTATTTATTTTAATAGATATGATTTAAAATAAGTTACTTATGGCAAAAGAGTTACTTATGCATGCTACTATTACATAAAATTTGTTCGAAATGTTTTGTTTATGATATCTTTTATTGTTCATATTTTTTCTGTATATATTTTTATTCCATGCAATGTAATAGTGCAGTAATTCAAGCATAATTTATCATAATGTAAATCTTAGGGTGTCCTAGAAGCCTTTTTTTAAAAAAAGATTTATGCATACAGGAGCTGGGGTACAAGCCAGAGATGCGGGGTGGGGGGGGTGAGAGGATTCACCAGGGACAGAGTGGGGAACAAAGCAGGCAGACTGACTGAAATACACTGCTGAGGGGAGCAGCGGGCGAAACAGAAGAGGTCTGCTGCCCCATGTGGGTTGCTCCCTGTCAGGCGGGGGATGGAATTCGTGCTGCAGAGGCTGCGGGATTGCTTTATAGTGCGATACTTATCCCCTTGCACCACTAGGGAGGCCTTAAAAGGCTTTTTAGTAACTTGAATAAGTGATTTGTAAAGGAACACATACGAGCTACGAGAGAGAGAGGACAGGTGACGTGGGAGCACAGAGAGGAAAAGATGACTTCCTACAAATTTAAGGAGACTGCACCCAGACAACCTTACCTTGTTTTTTGAGAGCAGGAGCAGAGATGGGGTGGAAAGATCATTTTGGACAGAGCCACAGAGACCAGAGAGAGGGGGAGAAAATTTTCTTATACTCTGAGACTCAATTTTGTCTTTTGTAAAATGATGTTAATAATATCTGTCTTGAATAGAGGTGGATATGTTGGAGTGATCAATAATAGCATGTGAAAATGTGAGCACTGTCACTCACAGGTGCTCAAGAAATAGAAGCCTCCCCCAACTTGATTTGAATTTTGTCCTCTTGTATGAGAAGTCTATTCAAAACTCAGTCTTGTCTAACATTCTCTGTGTCTTCTATGTCAGCTTCTGCACTGACTGCAGCCATTTTGACTACTTTCTGTGTCTCATCAGACCAAATGGCCCCAACCTGGGACCTGTCACATAACAAGGATTACAAAGACTCTCAATGCTCAGTGATAACTGGTATTAACTTACCCACTGTAGGGTAAGGAAAAATGTCAAGCTTTTCTGCCCTCCCGCCATCAGGATAGATGATGGATCCTTGTGGTCCTGAATTCATGCCCGATGGCGGGCACCTGGAATAGGGTGGGGGGGGGCATAGGTAGATGGGATTCACCTGGGCTAAGACTGGACTTTTAAGGGCGGCGTCATGAGGATGCCAGTAGAAGCCAAGAATGAACAGAAGCCAAGAGAGAAGCCAAGAACGCCGGAGAGCCCAGATAGAGTGAAGACTTGCTGGGGGCTGGGAGGCCTGCCAGCCTCCTGGCCCCCCAGCACCCCTGCCTGCTGTGTACCTGGTAATCCCAATAAAAGACCTGCAAAAAACCACTGAGGACTCTGACTCCTTTACTTGGTCTGCTGGATCCTAGAAAACCTGCACCGTGTCCGTTCCTGACCCTACACCCACCAACCTTCAGATCACCTTCTTTGCAATCCTACTATTGTAAGGGAGAAAGTCAAGAGTTGCTACAGGTGTCTGGGTTCTAAGGGGAGATATCTTTACAACATGGCCTCTGTGAAGTCATAGATGGGAGCTGAAACAAGGTTTGGAGATCATGTAGCCCAACCCTGTCATTTCAACAATAAAGAAATGAAGGCAGAAGTTAGAAGACATTTCTAGATTTAGAACCCAGGTGTCCTAGTTCCCAGGACCTTTCTTTACAGCACTCTTCCTCTATGGTGTAGCATTATAGAAACAGTAAAATATAGACTCCAGTCTGTGTCTTATAAGTGGCAGCCTATTATCAACACAAAGTTGTGAATCCATTAATGGGGGAAATAGGAATTTTCCAAACTTACTAGAAAGTGTGACTTTGTGATGATAGTCCTTGGAAGTATAACAAAGTCCAATCTGAGACTGATAGGGCACTAGGGAGAAAGGGCAGGGCACCATACCCAGCACAGGGATCTGCACACGCACACCTAGCACAGGCTGTATGCACACACTGTATTACTGATGTTCTGTTTTCTTTAACTAAAACTTGCTTTGAACTGAACTGAGATTCCTGCCCCGATGCTTGAATGAGTGCCAGACATTGACGCCATCAGAAATA